GCACCATTGGTTTGGAATCAGGGTTTTCCAACTCCCCTAGGTGGACTCTCTATATCCACTTCAACTTAGATATTTGTATATATATATATATATATATATATATATATATATATATATATATATATATATATATATATATATATATATATATATATTGTTGTTCAAACATGTCTCTTTAATGTAACAAAAGCGGAGTTCAACTGAGTCGTAACTCTCTGAAGACAATGATAGATGTGTTGCTCAAATTCGCGGATCAGCTGAAAGTTAGACATTAACACCGTTGGATACCGGCTCAATAAGCGTTCGTATTCAATACCGATAGGTCCTGGGTTCGAGTTCCGCTGGGAGGGATCGTAGATACGCACTGCTGAGGAGTCTCATACTAGGACGAAACAGCCATTCAATGTTTTCAGGTTTACCATGGTAGTCTAGCTTCAATGAACTCATGAATTCAACTATTAAAATTACTAAAATCTCCACAAAACCCCCTTCTGATAAGATTTATTCTTCTATAGTGTATTTATCTAAGATTCAAATATTTTCATTGACCAGTACATTTTATTATAAATAAATCAAACGTAATATAATTTAATATAGAATTCCTCTTAACATAATAATAAAAAAATCTTTCTTCTTAACCAATGCATAATCTTAATAGACACTTTATAACCATTTAAATAATTTTGTTAAGTATTACACTATTCAATAATTCAATATAACCAGAAAAAAAGAAACCATTACTGAACAATTATTTTAATTATAGATTAGATTAATGGTTTAATTAACAAGAATAATCTGAGAAGAAATGTCATACAGTAACTAGGGGACAATCAAATTACTAAGAATATACATATATATATATATTATCACGTCGTATTGATCAAAGCTATCTTATAACAATTGACGGAATTATTTAACTATTAAAATGTCCTAATAGTATTTGGGCTATTCGTGTCCAAGTTCATAGTTAGACTGATATTACTTAATAGTATTAGTAGTAACAATATCACAAAAAGTCCAACAATTTTATGGAAATAACAACTTATCACTAGTGCCTATATATTTGGTAACAAAAATTCCAAATATTGTGTTCATTTCTCTGTATCTTAAGACAACAGAGACTAATCTATTTTGAAAGTGTAAAATAGAATACCAACATAAATGAAATATAATTAAACACAAGATCTTCATAAGTAGTCGATTGGTGTCTATCTAAAATGATAAATGTTAATATAAATAATTACGTGTTTTATTCTTATATGCCAAAACAATATGTTCACGGGCTCATGACATTTAAGTCTTTATCAGAATCCTTCTTTAAAATCATTTATACAATTATAAGAATTGGTACAAATGGAATACAAATGAAAAACTTATGTACAGTAAAGTTTATAGCGATATAATAAACGAAGCGTAACCTTTACGTACAAAACCAATCCGTTCAATTCATCATTCTACCATAGTCTTAATCTTTCTCTGAATCGTTTATAATCTTCTTTTACTCTTTCCCAATTACTTTTCATAACTATCAACTGGTCGCCATTATCACAACTTTTAATTATTATCTATTAATTGCACAATTATCTTCATCTTAATAATTTTCACTAGCCGATTGTTGTATAAATAATTCATGAGAGAATACCACTTCAATTTCTATAAATATTCATCACCGTCCTATTATACTATATATTACTATTTTTAGCAAATGAATTGATATATGACTGTACGGTTGAAATAAATGAGGTACAGAATTTTTTCCATGTTAGAACATCGTGACAAATAATAGATTCACAGGACATGATACTCAACTATAATTAATGAAGACAAACCAAAGCCTATCGGAATATAAAGGTGGAAAGCTTTATTGAACAAGTAAGTAGCAGTAACAACTGACCTAAATTTGAAATGGTATGCCGATTAAACAAGCATTTCTACATACGAATTACAACCAACTTGATAATTAGACGCAATCGAGAAGTGGTGAGTGTAATAAGTGTGAAAGGTAGGTTACAGGAGAAAGAATCATCTGGTCAATAAGATCAGTTGCCCTATCTATCAAGTATGAAAATTATCGTACGCTGTGACACGTCTTATATATATATATATATATACAAAAATATGGTAGAACTGAGCTTAAACAAAGCTCTTGAGGTAACTTGAGCCAACCTGATTGTAAAACACAAGAAAGCCGTTTATGTGGTAACAGATCACTGGATAGTAACCAGTGTCTTATGCTTTAATGTTCAGTGCTGACTGACATAGAGAAGTACATTTTGAAAGTGGCCAGCAGTCTATAACAATTGATTTAAATCCTGAACAGATAAATGGTAATATTTCTAGAAACTACAATGTTAAGCGATAGGTTTCCTAAAAGCTGTACTACTGATGAATGCTAACAAATACTTAATCTTATCCGATAGCTTCTTGTAGATCATCACTGTAATCATCCATTACAAGATGCATTTGCTGAGGTAATCATGATAATTGGACAAAGTACATCACATTACATACATAGTGCACAGTTAATAATAACAACCAGAAATAATTAACTCGCATAGTCTTTCTAGATAGATAAGATAGAGCAGATTAGATTCTTACATTTCATTTTATTCCCTATCATAACAACAAGGGCTGGTATATGCAGTGTATCAAATCTTTAAATCTAAAGCAGATATCTAGCCGGCGAAGCTAATAGATTGGTTAGGGTGAGACTATAATTTATGGACGATCTTTAAGAGACGCCAAAGTGACTAGGGATAAATCAGGGTTATAAAGCAGTTTGAAAAATAAGGATTATGATTTGCAGATGATGATTAGGGTTAGGAATTAGATTTACGGTTTTTCATCACAAACTGACATAAGCTAAAATGCCAAGACGCTATTTGGCCAAATGGGTGAGTGAATTTCGCGCCGAAATTCAAAACCTGTTATCGTAAACCTGACTGGTTCGTCCATAAACTATAGTCTCGCCTTGGTTAGTTAAAAAAACAAAGTCATTCATCTCCCAGTAATTCATGACCTACAAAAAATCGATATAACTTACCTTACATGGTATATTAAAGCACTACAACTGATTAAATATTGTCCTTAACTTAACAGTAACAATTGACGAGATGTAATAACATGAACAAAGTTCTCACAACAAATAAAAATGAACATCTTAAACTAAAGAACACATCCTTAATAAGAAGTAAAAATCGGTTTTTTCAAAAATGAATAGATTATATGTTTATTTGTAATCAAGAATGAAATAGTCAATATATCAGTCTGTGAATATGTAAAGTATAAATACCTAGTGTTATGCAAATGAAACCATCATTATAATACAAGAGACACACAACATCGATTCTAAACACAAATCTAACCTAAGTAATATGACCAATGGCTGATAATAATTACTTGGTAATCAATATATTTTAGAAACAGAGTGATAATTGGTTATTCACCTTAAAGAATCCTGGTAAAAACGAAAGCAGACCACTTCATAACATTCTTCGTGTATAGCAGAACCACTGAGTAAGGCATAGTTTTAAATGAGTGGCAATATAACAACACAGTCCGAATGTTACGCAAACTAAGTACAATAGTACTGAGTCAGCAGATATCATTTTGTGATGTTTTAATTTTCATAACCTTGTTCGCTGAGAAATTTGAGACAATAATGATAGTCAAGTACCCAATCTGCAGTGGTTTTTTAAATTATCACAATGTACAAGGTGAATTTGCTATTAACCCAGTAAATTTTCAATACTATATTACTGTTTTCCACTGATGAATATAATTTCTGAATATCGGTTATTTTTACACTTTCTTTTGATAACCTGTCGATAAGTACAACTATCAAAACTAATGTGAATTTATGCATGACTTCACCCGTCTCTACTAGAAATGAACTAACGCCACATACATCAACAAAAATTGGTCATAACTCAATCGAGAAAAGCAACAAAAGGCGAATTCGAATCCTAACTAATGAAATTGGATTCAAATCCTTTCTTATAATAACAAAACTACTATCGAAAGTTGGACCAACAGCTTTAAAAGCTGGATGACACAATAAGTAAAATTAAAATTATTTAATAAATATATAATAAGGAATTGTGATTAGACTTGAAATGAAACCTAGATTCAAGTACGTGTTTGAACTAAATACGGATCACTGACTAACTGGATACTGACAGATAGTATGCTTTATTCTGCTTACTATAAACAATGGTGGAATTAGATGAGGAAAACTTTAAAACGATCAACATACTGCAGTAGTCATGTTGTTTATAAATAGTCATTGTACAATATATATATATATATATATACTATCATTTTTAGTCATAGAAAAAGGCCAGAAAAACTCATACACATCCAGAAAATACATATAATACTAATTTTATGATAACAGTAGTAGAAGTATTTGGTGGTAATCATGATAAATAATACAATAAATTGATAAAAACAATAATTTTGAATAGATTGTAGCAAAATTACTATCAATCATTCAAAGGAAAAAAAATGCTTTGACAAATATTGTTATAATAATAAAGAGTGAACTACTCGATCATTCTGTGTGTCTCGAGACATTGATAGATAAATTGAACGAAAAACTCCAGTACATATACACATGTAACAAAAAACATAATAGTAAGAATAATGATAATAATAGTCAAGTAAAAGCCTGATTGAAAAAAAACATGCTTGTATACATTAGCGCATCAAAACAAAAAGGAAAAAAAACGAACATGGAGAGCTGAGGATCATTTTCCAGTACAAAAAATGGAGGTGGGTAGTTGTTAATAAACTGGCTGATACATCATATATATATATGGGGAAATTAATACAAAAATAAAACTAAACATTAGAGCAAACATAATACGAAATTCAAATCACCTTCTGCCCCCGCCGACACTTTATCCTGACGGGACAGTTATAATGATAATAATAAAACGGAAGATGGTCTAAACAATATATATATATATATATATATATATATATATATATATATATATATATATATATATATATATCAGTCAGTAACTATATATGTATATTGGTAACTATCAAAAACTGAAAAGACATAACAGCATATTGAGAAACACAACTGATCAAATTTATACATATATATTGCTAAACAAAAATAATGGTTACTATAGCTAGGTCTGTTTGTAGTTTTGAAATTCCATTTTACATAGTACGTCTGCTTTGACAAAAAATTGACATATCAGGGTATATTAACAAAGAAATAATACATTGATTTAAACAGGTAGATAATATACATAGAATAAATGAATAAGTAAGTACATTTTTGCTCTCTCTCTCTCTCTCTCAGTTGTTCACTTTCATCCTTAATCCACTATCTCCTTTTACCTATAAGCACTCAAATTAATCAACCCTAGAGATAATATTTGAAAAAAAATAATACATTTAAGGGGAAAATACACATTAAAAAACATAGAGGTTAATTTGTTCAATCATTAACACATAAGGCTGAACAAAAAAAATTAGATGGTGAATTTTTAAGATCCTAGAACATATTTTTAAATCATTTAACATTACTGAGTGAATATTCATAACATTAATAATAATGATAATCCTTGAAAATTATGGATATACACATAAAGTTACATTAAGAAACAGTCGGATATACATGATTGACCAATATCTTTTGAAGATGTGTAGAGGATTGGAAAAGCCCAGAAGAGGATGATAATGATGATGGTGATGTTAACGAAGATGATTGAAAAACAGGAACAATTTGACTGACAACCGATGAAACAATGGTTGAACAAGGCACACTCAATTTCGATTCACAAATGCTTGTATCGTCTTTATTATTATTATTATTATTATTATTATTATTATTATTATTACCATTATTATTATTCAATTCACCAATACAAGAGTCAGACTTTTTCGTCAAACTGACGTTAACAAAAGAGGTAGAAAAAGAAGCCGCCGACGTTTGAAAACGATCTACGCATAGTTTACAACTCCAACTACCTTCTGGCGGCTCGGATAATGGCGGATTTAAACAGTACATGTGATAACCTCTATCACAATCATCACAAAAAAGCATTTGTTCCTGAATAATATAAATAAAAATTAAAAGTCAATATTTATAAAAAATCATTATATGTAAATTGATAAAATAGTTGAATTACATAAAAATATTCTGTATACCACTTGTCATAGATGATATTATTATGCAGTACAAATAACCCCAATCATTCATCCAAATTGCGTAATACACTATTTGCAAACTAAAATTATTTCTTAGTGAAATCTACAAATAAAATTGTTGACTCTACGGACACTTTCTTGTCTACTCATCACCCTATACCTTTGCACTACATACACTGTTATCTCTACATATTTCACTAACGTAATCAACAATAATAACTTTAGTTTATATGACATTATCCCTTTAATCCTGGTAAATTATAGTCAAAATATTAAGCAAACAAAAACAACAACCAGTCCAAAAAATTAATAAAGTTGTATTAAAATAAACTAGACGAGGGTAAATAGAGAACGAATAGGTGTAAACCAACAAGACGTTTAAGATTATTTAAAGGAAGACAAGAAGTGACTGTGTCGACATTAGTACAATTGATTTCGCATGGATTTATTAAGAATCATCAACTAATAGTCTATATTCTCAAGATCCCAATTTCGAAGAACTACATTTACCCATGACGTCGGAACTGTTAATCACTGACTTTATAGACTGGTACCAAGCTATTGAGGTCTGGACACACTGGAACAACTTTAACTAAAAAAGTTACGACAGACAATAAATCAACGTATTAATAAGGTATATTAATCTACTGGATGCTTCTTACTCAAGAACCCGTGGGAATGGATCAAAGTTTATAGCAAGCTCTTCAGCAAAGTGGTCATGATAAATAATCGCACGACGATTCTCTTACTGTACTGAAATTAGTCGTAAAAATGACATTAAATGTAGGGAACTTTTATCAGACTTCTGAACAATCATTTTTTAAAATTCAGATAAGTCGCATATTAATTCGTGTGATTTTAAGGATATACCACTAGGAATCCAGATACTAGATGGCTTAATTTTATTTTCAACTTATGCTTTAAATAATAACTTGTTAGAATTACTTTAAAAAATCTAGTTTTCAGCAATTCCCGATCGAAATTCTCAGTAGTGTGCTTCCAATAAGACTGTGCTCTTAAACTTTGACACCTCTATCCTTCCAGTTGTTTTATTTCCATTAAGACCTCCCTATCACAGAGTCACTGGTTTTATTGTCTTTTCCATCTAACTGGTGTTTGCTTTTGTACTTGTATGGACTGTAACAACTTCAATCAAGAACCCATTTTTATTATTATTTATTTATTTGAACACATAAATATTGGTACAAGGAGGCATCAGATACATATGCACCACACAAAACAATGAGAAAGGGAAGAGATAAAGAATGTAAAGTGTGTGTAGGAAGAAAAAGTGAAAAAACAATAACGACCACAGATTAGTGTATGGTAGTAAAATAATAATGGGGGAAACAGAAAAGTACAACCAGAAACAATCCTTTCAGTTAAAGAAGTTACGGTCACTTTGTATGAAGAAAGTAAAAGAAGGTTACAGTAGGATCGCCACTTGCTTCTATTCTCAGTCATTTCTGATAACGTCGCTAGCCACTATGTAGCACCATCTCTCGGACCCCACCCAGCGAATCGTGAAGGATAAACAGAAGTCAGTTCTGTGCAGCTTTCTTTCATACCACCACACCATGTCATGCACTGACCACCTCTCCGCTTCTTCCAACCAGTCCCAGAGTCGGCAAATAATGCACGACGTGGCATTCTCTGGGACGACATTCATAGAACATGTCCAAGCCACCGAAGTCGATGTTTCAAGATAGTCACACCAATTGCATTATCGTCTCTGCGCCTGAACACACGATGCCCAACCTATGCATTACTAATATGGTATCGCCACTGGATGTCAGCAATCAATCCTTCGGAGACAACGATGATCAAACACAGAGAGAGTCGTCTAGCATCCTCAACTCGGAGAGGTCAGGTTTCGCAAGCATAGAGCAAAACTGCTCTCACCGACGCGTTGTAGATCCGATCTTTTACAGTCAGACTGAAATCACGAAGGTGCCAAAGATGGCCCAGATTGGCATAAGCCGCTCTGGCTTTCACTATACTTGCATTGATCTCATCACTCACGTCATCACCAGCACTTATGCAGCTACCTAGATACACGAACTTATCGACTACTTCTATCTGCTCACCATCCAGGATAAGTACAGGATTAGAATCCAGCCAGTCTTGTAAAAGTACTTTGCACTTAGAAGGTGCAAAGCATATACCATACTTACGGACATTGATTGCCAACTGATTAAGTCCCGATTGCATGGCTTGGGCATTATCGCACAGTAGGACAATATCATCCGCATACTCAAGGTCGAGAAGTCTTTCTGCAGGCAAAAGATCCACACCACCATTACTTACATCCATCAGAGCTGTTTCCAGAATGTCATTGATGGCAAAGTTGAAGAGGAATGATGAGATTGGGCAACCCTGTCTAACCTCACTGCTCGAATGGAACAATGGAGAGAAGTGGTTGTATGCCCTCACTCTGCCTGGAGTGTTTGTATATAAGGCCTTTAGGATGCTAATAAACTTCTCAGGCACACCCTTCTTCAATAGACAATTCCGGAGAACAGTCCTGTCCAATGAATCGAAGGCAGCCCTGATGTCAAGAAACACTACGATTGTTGGTCGGTGATAAGTATGACGGTGTTCTAACATTTGGCGGAGGGTAAATATATGATCAATACATCCTCGACCGGAACGAAGATCAGCCTGCTTCTCGCGAGTCAACCATTCTCGGGTTTTGAACAACCTACCAAGCATGAAAGAAGCTAATAGCTTGGACGCAATCGGAAGTAGACTTATCCCACGATAGTTGTTACAGGAACGACGTGAACCCTTTTTAAAGATAGGGGCAACCACATTTATTCATACATGAAGGAATACATTCAAATAAGTTTCCTGATGTAGTTACAGAATATATAAGTAGTAAGTACAACCATGTGAAGAAAAAACGTGAATATTTCTATCTTCCAGTTTTGTTCGTAACGATAATTATGCTAGTAAGAAATCTGACAAGATATTCTGATAAATGGCAATCGATAACTGGTAGAAAAATTAATGCATAAGAAGAATACAACTTTAACTCCATGTTCAATAGACGATATGTACTGAATATATTGACAGGTTACGTATGTTTCTAATATCAAATAAATGTACGCCGTTTTTTCTTAATACCGAATAAAGAATGAATAAACAATATAAAAACCAATTACTTACATCATTTTCTGAAGTACCACAAAGCCAACATGTTTTACATTCAATACACTGCCACCGGTAAGTATGTACAGAAGTAATCATATTCTGTGTAAACTGTAAACAAGAAAAGTGAGCAAAACGTCCACAATCTGAACATCTTAACATATCTTCTGACCGCCCGGTCTTCTTATTCAAACTTTCATCACCTAGGCAAAAGTCACAAGTATGTTCTGATGAGTCTGTATTATTCATATCCCGCCATTCTTGTGCTTCAATAACTGGAAATATTTATAAAACAGTTAGTAATACAACGATAACCAATAAATCATTAAGTTCATAATGTTTAGTAAGACCAAATAATATTCATAGTCAATATATTTATCTATACTGCGAACCTCTTGTAAACATACTTACTTAGGCTACCACCACCTTGTTCAATAACTGAAGGGCGAACTCGTGAAGGGCCGAATGAACCATTTACAGAGGAACAAAGATCATTGTTATTACTATTCTTGTTAGTTACAGAAGTGGAATGAGAAGTAGAAGTGTGATTACTGGTAGTACCTGAATTAATTACTGGTCCATTGAGCAAATGATTAGTTTGACTGTGAGACTGTTGTTGTTGTTGCTGTTGTTGAGAATGAGGATGAGGGTTGTGATGATGTCCATCTGTTCCTCGATAAGGGGACATAAAGGCTGGTCGTGCACAACTCATTCGTGGTGTCTAGCATATTATGGAATGAAGTGAATAAATAAACAGAAAAGTGGGGATAATGATAGATACATTAGGATCAAATGTGAAAAAACGTAGTCTACACTAAATTGTTTTGTGAATTAAAAAAATATGTATTGAAAGGAGTATGATAGTTAGATAACAGAAAAAATAATGATACTCAGGACAGAAGAAATATAATTTGTTTCAGCGAACTAAAAAGCTCACATAAAACATTTCAGAACATAGAATGATAATCTTATTTGAAATATGACTAGATAGTTGAACATTCTATGGGCATTTAAAAGACTTGAAATTTAATTCAATCTGTAACTTAACTATCTAGCACAAAGTTGTAAGTTAGATTATGAGTAACACTTGGTTCTTTACAATGTCTACTGAAGTGATTAGAATAATCTTGAATATATGATCCAACTGATGGAAAATGATACTCTAAATCAATGATACCCAGTCTCAAGTTGCTACAAACCTTAACACAGGTTACAAAATGTAGCATGATCAATATGGTACAAATATATAATCTGTTAGATAGCCATTTTCTCCCCAGATTCAAAAAATTAGTTGTATTTCGATGAATTCGTTGTTGGCCTGATGAGTTTGAAAACCGTTTTACCACTCTTCTATTTGTTATTCTGAAATATAAATCACGAGTTTTTAAAAACCTCAACCATGATAAGTCATTGTGACAAACATAAGGCTAATATATGAGAGATTAAATTTTTTTCGATGAAACTTTCATTGAAATGAATTAACTACTGGAAAATTAGGTAAGCAGTTTAAGAGGGTTTCGGAACTCAAAACCTGAGGGAAGACAGTCACTAAGTCTATAGATTGGTGGTACATCTTGTTTTGGCCGCCCCTTGCTTTTTCCTAACTACTCTCACAGCGGCCATCATTGTAAGTCTAGGTAGGTAGTGGTTGGGCATACGTAATATATGTCGCAACCGCCTAAGATGATTTATGATATTGAAGACCGATTTGCCTTCTTTATTCGGCATCTTGAGTTCAATATTAACATTCCTTACTTAATGGTCCCTACATACACGACCACTGTTTTGAAGACATTTATAATCAAATACCAACAACCTACAAATACCCTCTAAATTTAAAGGCCCCATTTTAGAGACATATGGTGAAAAAAAGCAAACTGATGGACAGTAACCACATCCTTTGGTCGGCAAACCGATATCTTTACACAATTTAGAGAAATTCAACCGAGCTTTCTGAATCCGTGCCGAGATTTCGTCAAATACTAACCCATCAAGGTTGATCAGACTTTCAAGATAAGCGAAGTGGTCACCATGACCAACTGCTTTACTCCCTATCATACTGATACAGATCAGTCCCGGGGCAACATTTTGCATATAAAGGGAGAGAAACGCATTTCCAAACATGTTTGCATTGGAGCTCAAAATGGTAAAAACCCACATCTTGTCTGAGACTTCGCCAAACAGAATTATGTCATTTTCATCAACAAGTGAACCTCATAGTAGAAGATGGATTCCGGATAAGTTAGACAATGAGAGAGTTATCACTGAAAAATATCAACGATAAAGTTAAATAAAATTAGAGGAAGTAAACAAATCTGATGAAGATCACTTTATGCTGCAAGCTCAGATGACTGTGTACTATGAGCTATGACTGCTAGTAATGTTCGTGGAGAGAATTTGTAAAAAGGTGATATACTTTTTAGCCTCTTTCAATGACAGACACTGCCATATAACATATTGAACTTCAGAATCAAAAGCTGCCTTGAGATCAAGAAATACAACTATGATTGTGAGTTGATAGGTGCCTGCGTTCCAAAACCTGAAGAATAGCTAACATTTGGTCTACAAATCTATGTCCAAGTCTGAAACAAGCATGGTTTTCCCGAGTTTGATCTTCACGAGCCTTGGTTAAGCGTTAGGTGATTAGACAAGTTAATAGTATGGATACCTTATTGGTCAAAATTATTTACTTTGTGGTTATCACAATTGGATTTTTGTCCAATCCCATAAACTCGAACGATCAGTGATCGAAACTACTCCAGTTCCCAAACTCTAACTAGTATCTGAGTCAGCTTGACTGAAAAAACCCCAGGATCTCTGGGGTTAACGCTTCAGGTCCTCCTATATTTTCAACCTCATTAAGAGTTGGAAGAGATATGTTTATATCGTATTCAGGTTGTTTGGAAACAGGAGGCAATTGGTATTTAGCTGAAGATAAACCGATCTTTCTTACTATATCTCTCTTTTCACAACCTCATCTTTATTGTAGTGCATATAAATTTTCGTGCCCGTTTGTAATGACATTTACGTATTTAAATCAATCGACAAAATTCATAAGACTACACGGAATTCATAAAACACGGTAGGATACAACACTATATTACCTAATGTACTTTAATTAGTTAAAGCGAACGAAAAGCATATAAAACCAGTAAAAATTCTGTCGTTTACAGTGGTCGCGTCTTTCGTACGTAAATACAGTTTGATTTTTAGTGACTTAATTATACTAAAATGGTACAAAACCAAAGAGAAAATAGTCAAAAAATCATCTGGCTGAGTGGGTTATTAACTCGATAGCTAGTGACCAACTAGAGTTACATCGACCGGAACACTGTTACGAGGTACTACCATCTCATGAAAGTCGAATGCAGAATGGTGGGGAAGAAACTAATCAGCTAGAGCGAATTAGGAATTTCGACTGCACCAGAGTTACGGCGGTAAAGTCTTCCCATAGGCGACTAGCATCTCTAGGGTTTCCATCTTTGTGAGGACGAAAGAAAGTTACTCCTACACCTTTGTTAAACGTATTTTTGCTGTCAGTGGCAAGGTATTACAAGTTACTTAAAGACAAGTAAACTCCATAGTGTCTATGTAAATATTCATCAGCCACGAACACAAAGTGGCTAATAAGATTTTAAAGATACAACGGAATTGTTTATTAAGCTCAAATTTACTCTCTATGTTAGTATATTCATGAGTACAGATCAGTTTTGTAGCAAGTTTACATTTAGATGAAAAGAGCATTTTAAATGTTTTTGTATTATCGCTTGAAGCATCCAGGAAACCGAATTTCGGCACCATCCTTTCAAAACAAAACACATGCATACTCTAAGTCGGAAGTATCCAATTAGGATATTGGTTCTTGAGGCCTAATATTGCGGGAACTAACTTAAGCAGTACATCTATGATAAATGAAAATCAAATATATACCTCTTTATGTTGTTTGGGGTCTTTTATTTTTTGTGGTTGCATAATTGGTATGTCATGACCTAAATTCTGATATTGACAGGAAGTTTTACCAAGTTAGTTTTGACTGAGCTGTTACGAAAAGACAAACTTAGGAACCAGGAGTAAAATATTCATGTGGAATGTTTGCAGAAAAGATGATACAGCCAAAATATTAACAAAAACCTATAATGAAAGGAAATACACGTACCTCTGAATGCTGTGAATTAATGTGGTAATTTAGTCCGGCTCTCGATCTGTATCGTACGCCACAAAACTCACACAGAAATACTGGCAAAGATGTTTGACGGTCATTCGAGTCATCATCGAATGAAGTATAATTAGAACGTCGCCGACCAGGTCCAGAGTGATTGGATCTGCTTATGCGAGGAGTCTAAATGAAAAATGAGAATATGTAGCTAATATTGGACCTGTTTTATTAAAACAATTACATCACAAATATATGGGAATTTCGTACTAATGATGAGTTCAATAAATTAATCAACTGACGTACGATGGACTACATGAAATGAAGGTAGGTGATGACTGCTTAAAACATTAATAACGCACAACTACCAGACTAAATCAATATCTGATAACGAGATAATTAACTAGCAAGACACAACTTTGTTAACATTACCAGTTGTATACAAAGCATTCGACACAAAATTAAACATGGTTGAATGTCACTTTAGATCAAAGTAATTTTAAGACAAAGGTCGTTGTAGGGTAATGACGCACGAGTCTAATTACCGCCTAGCATAAATGTATTTGCTTGAATCTTTCATGAACCACAGGATGTCTCCGACTAACTGGCAAAGCTAATTTAATACAAAATAAAGACTGCACAGAGAATTCGCGAAATGTTGCAGATAAAGTGTTTTAAGTGTTCACAGACAGAAAGAATAAAAATCAAGACACTTAGCAGTATCTAAGTTCCATAAGTACTCTAATATCACTCAATTAAGGACGCAATTAGCATGAAAATATAGTTTGTAGGACTAAAACGAAACCCAAAACAAAGCTGCAATCATATTTTGGAGGTGTAGTGAGTAACAGACGCCGAAATAACCTGAGGTTTACACTATGCAACATGCAAGCAAGAATGGTAAACCAAACCCACAAAAATATATAGCAAATGCAATCTGATTGTTTTCAGTCTATTTAAATTATAACCATACAAGCTTTGCATCGTTCATGTCTGGTGTTCAGGCAAGATAAGTATATATCTCGATACATTAGGTTAAATTACTAAGTAAATTCGGTTTCGGAGTGTTTTTGTTTGTTTTTAATACCCACTATGATCGATAACTACCTAACAGTTACGATTATATCCAAGTACATCGAATTTTATTCAAAGTTTATGTTAACTGCAGATAGGACAACCAGATGATAGAAAAATCGATTAAGGAGTGATCAAAACACAAAGGCCTAAAAACGTTAATTAGTACTTACCCGACCTTTCTTTCGGCGTCTACGAACTCCAAAGTTCTCATCTGCAAAATCACTTGCATCAGAATCCATATCATATTCTGGACAGGCAGCCCAAGTACTACGACTATCCTCGTCTACATCCTTAGAACACGAATCTAATCCTGAGATATTTGGACGATCTGATGGTAAGGAAATACTAGGAATTTACCAATTTTAGCAACCCCGTTCAACGCATCTCCGTGATACAGAAAAGAAGGAAGCTGACCAGTTCTTTTGCTTTTCTTCCACCTGTGGGAACGGTATCGGTAAACCTGAGTCAGGTAGCCTACAGGTTCATTCGTTGTGGAAAGTCACTCACCTCCCTCTCTTTCTCTTTGGTTACGGTAAAGTAGGCACGGTCTTTGAGCTATTCCGGTAGCGCTGTCCAGAAATGGTAAACGACTAAGTTTATCTTGTTGTAGTCGTCGGTTATATCTTGATGCAAAAGCAAGTAGTTTGTCATAAGTAAATTCGTTCGGTTCAGATGACATGATTAAGACAACCGAACGCTTTGAAACGAAACCTAACATCAAATCCTACGCCCACATCAGAAGCAATTCAAATATAGCGTGAGGTCAAGTAACTCACAAAACCATATGGTTTTATGATGATACGTATAAACAAGCTCATTGTCCAACAATCTGGTCATTTACTACTTTTTGACAGTATGAGGCAGGCCCCAGCTTGATTAGCTCTTAATTGTATAAACGACAGATAGCATAGGATACCGTGAAGCCTTCTGCAGGCAGGAAAATCCATGGCTTCAAACCTTCTGTATTTCATAAGTAACCAATCAGTCTTCCGTCTTTATTAGTGACAATAGAACCACGTATGGGTTATATTGATTCTCATTTCGAACGAGTCGTTAGGCACACTGCCTCCTTGCATTTACCTACTGTTATGATTTCACTATTTGCTGTGAGTTCCTAGTCATTTTAATCTGTAAACTTGAGCAGAGGTATTCCATTTACTATGTACTGATTTTCATATCCACAGTGGGTTCTTTGCATTACTAAGGTTTTTCTAGATTTTACACTTGCCGATCAGTGATTTATTCACCGAAGAAGAGCATTTAAGTCTTCTAGATACTTCCTTTGGCTTGCAGGCGTCAAATGGTACAAATGGTTGTAGACTGAATGGAAGAAGCTTTCGCTTAACGGGCCTCCGTGTCTAGTAGCAGTGGATCACCAACAACTCCAGGCAGGAACCTAGGTTTATTAACGATAAAAGAGGAAAAAGAAATTGGTAAATCATAATAAGATATTATCCTCAGTACTTAAGAATAGTCCATGTTTTCTCTTAAAGGACTCCTGGGAAGTCACTTGGACTGGTTCATCCGTCAGCGAACTCCAGCATTTGACAACTCTTAGGGAGTTAAAGTCGTGTCTACAATCCGTTCTGTTATGTTGTGTCCCCAGTTTCTGGGTGTTATCCCTTAGGTTTGTGTTGGAGCTAAACTTAAGTAGGTGTTTAAGGGTATGTCTAGAAGTGTTAGGGATGCTGTAAGCCATTACAAGGTTAGCTCTAAGACGCCTATACTTTAATGGTGTGATGTGAACCAGTTTCCAATTTTTCGGTAGTTTGCCTCGGCTTGGCGAGTGTGAGAACATCACGCTAAGCAATGTTGCCAGGATTGCAGCTGCCTCCCTCAGTATAACAGAGCGAACCACATCTTCGCCAAGAGAAGTGTCTTTTCTTAGATGTTGCGGTTTCCGGAACACCAAGTCAGCGCTCATGTTCACTTCGGAAAGTCCTATGCAGTTGCAGATGAAGCTGTCATCAGTATGGTTGATGTGGGTCGGTTGAAATGTTCGAGAGTATTTTTCAGCCAAAAGGTTAGTGGCGTCACCATCGTTATTGATCGAACCATTAGGACTTAGCAGTTAAGAAACTCCAGTTTTGGCTTGTCGAAGAGAGGCCGCATACCAGAATAAACTTTTCGGATTGAAGGCAAATTTATTCATAAGCTTTATCTGGTACTGAAGCCTGTCTTCTCCGATTGCTTTAGTGCATATGTTCCGTATATGTGTAACAGCTTAGGTTGTTTAGTTAAGAGTTGACCTCAAACAACCAAGCATATGTCAAAACAATATAGTTCAAATATTTATTCACTTCTTTATTTTGTATAAGCGTTGTATTTCTTATTATCTAATAATGAATGTTTAGAGGCTTTGTTTGTCTAATTAAATAACCCCACGCTCCACTCTGAATGCGCGAAGATCGAAATAAAGGCCTATTCACTACTTGTCTGGTCTCTTCTATCAATAGCACGAGGGTTACCTTAAGGCACGAAATATGTTTGTATTTTTTGTACACGCCGTCGTTATCAGTTCCTTTGTATTATGTTCAACAGTGCCATTTTGGCCTTGGCAAACGAAGAGTGTGGTTCTTGATGACTGTAGGTTGCTTGTAGCTTTTGAGGTCCGTTTTTAAGGAACAGACCACTTTGTAGCACATAAGAGCGTGTGCAGTAACAAATCCCAATGAGCATCCATATCAAGTTGAGGGTGAACATCCCAATCCACCTGTTGTAGATAGTCCTGTAAAACTGACAGGTCCAACTGTTTGAAATTCCAGCGCCTTTTGTTAGTGGGACATCTTAGCTCATTTTGGTGACAAAATTGAAGGCTATGACGGCGTCATCGCCTTTCCCCAGGAGAGCCAGGATTTAGAGGTTGTCAACTAGGAATTCTTCGTTTGTGAATATCTAGTCTAAGCGCAACGGCATCTGACTGTTTCTCCAACGAATTGCCAACTTCACATTTTCGAATAACTTCGGATCCTCAACGAGGTTGAAGAACCGAGCTGCAGTAGAGTTCACCTCCAATATACGTGTGTTCCGCGAAATTGACTTTAGGGAGATTGAAGTCCCCTAGAATCAGGATATTAGTAAGTCCGAGAAACGTGAAGCCTATGCTTCTTTAGGAGTAACAGGCTCAGGGAAGTAAGTATACCTGTCTCATTGGTTTCTGTACTTTGATGCCGCCCATAAATATGACAGATAGCTTTATCACTCTGGTTTTAACATTTACAATAGGTAGATAAAGGGGAGCTTCCTGAATATTTTCTTGATTAATTAATCATGGATTTCTCTGATGATAGTGAGTTATCCACTCGTGCGTTAACTCTAATGTCTTTGGAGATCTTTGATATAATTTTCAACTTAATAATGAATCGTGAAACTTTTTATGCCTATTCTAAGATCCAGGCAAGAGACTGTAGTATGGCGTCAAGTCGCAGTTGACTACGATCACCACAACAGGAAGACTACGTGCCAGTTAACGGATAAGATCCCCCGTAGGCCAAATATCACAAGGCAGTTGATGGCTGTAGTCGAGATATATTTGTTGGCAATCTCGTGGTATCGAAAGACTACCGACATCGTGCCAGGTTACAAGTGTGGTTACTGAGAGTAACCGAATTCGTGCATGGTCACAAGCAACGGAAGAATGTTTGTGTTTTAGTACAGTCAAACAAATAAGTACGGTAAAACAATCCCTGGTACAATTGTTTATAATAACAATCGTTTCCATCACATCAATCGCGTTCTCATGATATTTTGTAGGTCACTACAAGACCATTTAAAAGTTTTCCCTGAAATCTGAAGATTACTTCTTCCGAAACATTTCTATATTCGGCTGGATTTTATTCTTCTCTTTTGATGAGAAAGTTGGCCAAATGTGATCGAATCTCTTGAAAGCCATCTTATCCTTTGGCCAAAATATTATTTTCTTAAATATTTTTTTGCACTATACTGGTAAATCTAATTAAGCGACAAACACTTTTCAAAGCTTTATGTCCAGCTTCATGAACATGGCTAACGATAACATCCTCATAAGTTTCAACTACCTTAGTGATACACAAGATAATATACCCAGTGGTTTAGGATTTGTCCTAGTTAGGACATCAATAATTCGGAGTTGAAATGAATTGGCATTACCAGGTTTATGTAGTATGAGGTCTCGAAATAGTTCCATATTCTTTTTTGTATATAATTTATATTAAGATATATTACCAATTATCTCTGACCTTTTTTTAATAGCGTAATCATCGTTTGGAAATTGATGTATCTACCCTGCCATAATTCAACGTGTAATCTGAACAAAATACTTCAAATGTATTACTCAGCAAGCAGATTGTCAGGTGACATTAAACTGATCATTGGTTAGAGAGGAAACGTTTTTAGTTTGAAAAAGAAAGGTGTGCTGTGTACCAGTTTCTAGGACAGTTAATCGGTTCAACTGTAAACAACCGGACACGTCAGGCCATTTTTGGATTTGAATAACAGAATTCAAAACAGTCAATAGAACACCAAACTGCAGAAGAAGCACGATCTAAGAACGAAAGCTGTTATTAAAGTACTGATGGTCCAAATGGATCAATGATTAAACTCAAAATCTCGTACTTTTGACACAAAAGTTTCCTAAATAAGGACCGTTTAGATTGAGGAAAGAGTTTTTTATATAATTTAACATAAAGTGCTCAAAAACTTTTCGCATCCTATGCAGAAGAACGTAGGTTGGCCTAATCGAACAAACATCGTTTCTTTAATTCACAATTCAGACTAAATACTGGGATTTCATTCGTTACATTGTGTATCACTTTTTTTATTGTTATCCCTTTTCTCGCATGCTTTGCTTGTCTTTTGGCCTACTTCCAAATATTCTCATTACATATTCCACATTTTCGGAAACGTCTTCAACTTTTTTACATCGACTGTGTTTGTTTTGACTTCAGTGAATTAACTACTAAAGAACTGAAATTATGTTTTCTGCTTCTCTGAAATGCCCGTTGTTGCTGAAGACTTTGACCACTCATTTTCCGACTAAATTGACAAATTTCAGTATAAATCATTAACTTTTATATGAATAATATCTCATTTTTATTTCTATAGGTACAATTTGGTTACCAAATCATTGTGATCTTGAATATTTGCTTGTTAGTTTCATAACTGTGAGTTATTTGCGCAATATTTCGTCTGTTCTATATCTGTATTTAAATAGTAAGCTCAATGTCACCGAAATACTGTTTCTCTCCATGTTTTGGGGTTATCAGGTATGATGAACATTGCCGAGACTGAGATAAATTTCGGATTATTAATCTATATCGATTGAACTCAGGCTGAAGTACTTGAAATTTGGACTACTTCAGTGTGGCCTTGCTAGTTATCGCTGCCTCGTCCACAATGAATTGCGAACAATAACCTCTTGATATGACATATGGGGGCTTTGCTTTAACACGAACAAAACCATATCAGTATCCTGCAGTTGACTAGACACCAACTTATTGCAAACTATTTGAATAGTGACCTTAAAATTAGTGGGGTATATTGTGAAACTAATTCTAGGTTAGTTTCGAATGCACTTTTCCTTGCTACTAGGACATTAGAACAAATCCAAAAACTGTGGACTCACCATATCATGATTGCTTAGTCCGACTATCATGTTCGTCAAGTGGCATTAGACTGCCGAGTCGGAATAGCCCGCAACACATAAACCAAACTTTTGGGAGTGAAGTCAGCCTGGAAGGTAGAGGCATCAAACTCATAGGATCTTTGTTTTTGTTCTTCTGTGCACATTGTATGCT